TTCCACATTCCACAACCCACTGCTTAGGGGCCTGAGTATCCAGTCGGCCAGTCCCGCAGGGCCACAGTAACGCATAGTGCGTACTCTAAAATGTCGCAAGAAGTCAGAAGAATTTATTTTTACAATACTTTTTACTTTTGTGGAAAAACATATGTGGCCTCCAAAAAACGAACAGAGGCTACATATGGAATGAAAAGTTAAAACAATAAAGGAATGTCTTTATACGGCACTGGTGATAATAAAATTATTAACCACCTCAGGCCCAGTTTCCTACCAGCTTGTACTTTTTCGAGTTTACTTTGCTATTAAGATGTAAATAGCGTGATTTTAGCACATTTATTGCACTTCTTGTATTAGTTTTTTATCGGCCTCAGAGGAGAGGTCGACGTATGTTAGACACGAATAGTGTCAACTGTAAAACCATGGGCGAATCCCAAGCAATAGCTAAGACAGAGGACGCCTATATACATGTGTCTAACTGCTAACATATGTCAAGCCCTTAAGACCGACAAGGACCTATCATAAGTGCAACAAATGGGTTGTATCCGCGCTACAATATCTAACATTTAAGTCGAGCGCTTTGAGCCGACAGATATAAACAAACAAACCCAGAAAACAAACACATCTCACTGTAGTGTTCTGCTTAAAATCACGCTATTTACAGTAATACACATATTTAAACAAATTAAACTCGAAAAGTATGTATGAGACTGGTAGGAAACTGGGCCTGAGGTGATTAATAATTTTATTGTCACCAGTGCCGTATAAAGACATTCCACGCCCCAGCCCACAGGCCACAATGCCACACCCTGTAGCGGTGTAGCCTGTAGGCCTGTACAAATTACAATTGAACTTTTGAATTTGAAGTCTTCAATTCTTCATAATCATGAAGGCGAAGCTGAAAGGTATTTTTAGTATCTACTCTATAGAGAGAGATACAGCAACACTGACGCACCGACTCACCGACGCACCGATTCACAGTCTCAGGAACTAACGTCCATAAGTAATATGTATTTATTTATTTATCACTGAAAGCGTTAGTTAGTAGTCCCTTCCAAACTTTATTGCTGGGATTTGTGTCGCGCTTTTTGACCATATATGGTTATCAGTTTTAACGGTATGTAACCGTTAGATCGTAAAGCTTCTGTTTGGTTTGGTTGTTTTGTTTTTAAAAAACAAAAACAAATATTAAGTGCTGGGTTTAAAATAAATTAAGTGCTGGATTTTCTTAATTTGTTTAGAAAAGACAGAAATTATACTTGCACTTTTAAAAAAAATAGTAATTAAATGGCTCTAAAAATCTAAACCACAAAACCAGAAATTAAGTGTACACTAGGCGATATTTCAGCCCAAACCTTGAGAATTTGAAATCTGAACGGAAAGCTTAACGGAAATTAGTATCAATTTGATGCGGAGCGGCTACGCCACCCCCCCTCCCCCCCCACGCAATAACGTTAAGAATTTCAAACCCATAAGTGTACACAGGGGGATATTTCAGCCCAAACCTTGAAAATTTGAAATCTAAACGGAAACCTTAACGGAAGGCGAAGCTCCCCCCCACTCGCGTGGGAAGTGGGATTGTGCCTTCGTGGGCTAATATGGGTAATGGGCTATTTGTGTTTTTGGTTTTAAACTAATAATAAAAACATCACATCGGGATATAGGCCCCTGAGGCCTATAATAAGGCACTATGTAGTATGTACCAACTCCTAAGCTCATAAGGTTATGGGGGCACGGGATAGAAGTTGAACGTAAACGCATATTTATTCGATTTTATAACGTTTTAACGGTTTAATTGTGATCAATAAGGCCTACCTAAGTTCTTCTATAGGACTGGATAATATCGTGAACATGATGCACACTTAAATGTTTAGACCTAAATTTGCACCTATGAGTATACAAAGGACCGCATATGAAATAAAAGTTGAACGTAAACGTTAACTATTCGATTTATAAAGGTTTTACAGGAAAACGGTTTGAGGTTAGTCCCAGAGTCCCAGTACCTCAGGGCTTAGGGCCTCAGGCTCTCTCAAGATTGTTAGCTGGGTTGGTATACGACAACGACATACACCTCTGAAAAAATGTCGTCGCGAAAGGTATGACATGTCGTCTCGATATGTGTGTGTAGGCTACGATTCAGCCACCAGCAGACCTGCCGACACAATGTCGCGACCGACATGTCCTACAAAATGTCGCCGCGACATGTACTACAGGACTACGATTTATTTCCTACTCTCTCAGAGAACCTACTCCTACAAAAAGAGCTCTCTAGTTGTAGTAGTAGTAGTAGTAGTAGTAGAGAGAGAGAGAGAGAGAGTAAAAGAGAAAATCCACTCACTGTCTCACTCTGCACCCCCCACCAGGACCAGGTATTTAGACTGGAACTCTGGAAGTCTGGAACTCGAAAATAAAATCCTTGGAGTCTTGGACCTTCAAATTTGAAATTTCCTTCAATTTTTCATCTGTGCTCCAAACAATATTTAGGGGACTCTTAAGACTACGGCTGGTATGACTAACTCTTAAGACTACGGCTGTTAAGCGTCCCGCTCTCGCGTCCCGCCAATTAAGCACCCCTCCCTCGCCTCCCTCCAAGTTGGCGCCCCTCTCTCGCCCCCCTCCAAGTTAAGCGCCCCTCTCGCCACCCTCCGAATTAAGCACCCCTCTCTCGCCCTCCTCCAAGTTAAGCGCCCCTCTCGCGTACACCTTACTATAAATAGGGGGTAGTATGTTTTTATTGATCCGTTAGAAAGAGTGGGAAAGATGTAGGTAATAAATAAATAAATAAATAAACGTGTATATAGGCGAGCGTTCACGAGTTTAATATAAAATATAACGGTCACAAAATATTCAAGTACTATGTATTTATTTTCGAGCACCGTATATCGCATACGTAACTGATAAGTGAGATATTTTTGTGAAATAAGCTGTATTTGTGTCAGTAACCTTTCTGTTGTTGCGTTGCGGCGTCCAAAGCTTTGTCTTATTTTAAAAATCAATATTTAAAAAAAACTAAAAATACTGACTTCACAGTAGTTCACTCAAGAGCTCACTCATATGAGTATCTGTCAGTTGTATTTAAATAACAAAAAAATCAATTCTTTATAGAAAATACTTGCACAACCTCTCAAATCACATCAAAGTGTGTCGCAAATGGCACAACAAAGAGTCACAACTCGCAGGTCACACGCAACTGCGCTCGCGAGAGAGTCCAAATGAAAAAAAACTCACAACCCGCAACGGCTCGACTTATTTTAACAACAATAGATTCTTATTATAAAAAGACAAGCCCATGACATTCGCGGAAGTATTTATATGTAGAATTCTGAATTGTAGATACATACATCTTCTTTTTTTTAAACACTCAGCAAATAGAATAAAATATATGTTCTGCTCACACAATCTCACACTCTAAATACTCTAGTATTTAGTCTACCCGCGAGAGAGCAGTAGGCAGCACTGAGCACTGAGCAGACGCGCTCACAAACACTCACAACCAAGAAGTCGCAACACGCAGGAAGAGTCATCAGTCGACAGTCAGTCAGTCACAGCACTCAGGTCTCAGGGGCCCCGGCTCTCATGCCTTCAGCCTCGTCCTTTAGGGCTCAACCGCTCAAAGCCTCAAGCCTCAAGCCTCGAGGAGTCAGGTTGACTCAGGGACTACAGAATATAGATTATTCATTATTCCAACCGCCACGTCTTCATTATATAAATACTCCTCAACAAGAGACAAGTGAGAGCCTGAGAGGTTTCAACTTCGCTCAAGCCGTTTCCCCATAATACTGTAATTTTTTTTCAGATAGCCCTATGTAAAATAGTATCACGTCCCTTTTATTTTCAAACAATTCCCTAAATATATATAAATTGTCCTATATTTTTTTTTGTAATCTCTAGCTATTTACTCTCTAGTCTTCTAGAGATCTAAGCATCATATATAAGGCTGAAGGCACAGAATGCGGCTGGTTTACTCTTTGTCACCGTGTCAGGCTGTCAGCCTGTCAATTGTTGTAAATATGTATGGTCTCGAGCGGAAATCAAGGTTATCGTAGCGGAAATCGAAAATTTAGCAGAGACCTAAATCCAGAGGGCCGTGAAAAAAGTATAATATCTTGTAATTTCTGACATTGTTTTAATATCTGATATTTAACAGTTTGTATCGTCTCGTCCAATAGATTTGATATTGGCTATTACGTACATATATTTATTTATTTTTTAGAAAAACTTTCAAAAATGGGAACTTGAGAAGTTTGTACCAGCCCTCTATTTGTTAAAAAAAAATATTGGCGAAAAAATAATTATAAAGTTCTTTTTTTCAGAAGGCTAAATCTGAAAAGAATATATATGTACGTGAGAAAAAAAACAAGCAAGAGGATTTTGAAAAAAGAATTCAGCATATTGTTTTAAAAAAATAGGATACTTCACACATACATACATATATACTGTACTCGGTACTGTACTGGTTTTGTATTTTGGTGATAAAAAAAATCCAACAAGAAGAAACATATATATATAAAGTTATACGAATATTTTTAGAAATGTTCTTTTTTTTCTTTTTCTTTTTTCAAACACATATATCATAGCCGTGATCACAGTATTACCCTCCATTACGAGAAATAATGAAAATATAGCAACACCAACGTATAGATGAAGTTTACGTGTGTGAACTTGCATATTTTGAAATAAATTACAATACATAGTTTTATCCACGCATCATGTCAACGCAAATGTACAAAGAGGCAGTTACCGCTGCTCACGACAGTCGCTATGTTCAGTCGCTTGAAGCATCAGTGCCGACATCAACATCTACCTTAGGTGTGTGTACCTTTTATCCGGCGTATACGCGGATTCTTGGTGTTGAACAGGACTATATGTAGCACTCTTTTTACTTTATGAGAGTTTCTTTTTCGAGTATTCCTAGGTTTGCAACTACATCCTGGTGTACATTGCGAGCCTCTGTATGTCTTTACCTTACTTATTTTTGCATGCTTGTGTTCATTATGCAGACGTCACTGCAGGCAATCAGAACGAGCTTAGCGAATGCAACGCCAATTTTAGACGGGATCGTGTAGAGAGTAGAAGTGAAAGGATTGCCCCTAAAAAAAAGCGAAAAAGCACATCAAACTCGGAAACTGAAGGGAGCGAAGGTACAGCAGTAAGTCAGACTACGACGGAAAATGAAGACAGTGGATTAGTAGAGTCTATTGTTAAGCGAGTGAGGCAGAGGCGTAGCTGGGCAGAGTTGAACCGGTCTTTTACTTGCTCGTACGAAGGATGTGACCGTAAATACGCATCGAATCATGCCTTGACATTGCACGAACGTAAAAAGCACGAGAACGGAGGTGTCTTCAGTACTTTACGGTCAGTGCCACAACATTGGTCACATTCAAGTCAGCAATTGCAAGCCTCTCAGCAGCACAGCAGTTCACAGAATTATGGAAACAATCAACATCATAGCAACGTGCCCAATGAAGTGTATAGTTCGAATATAAGCCAACAGACTACACAGTCCAGCGAAGATAGCTCGTCGCCGCACTCGCAGCAGCGAGATTCACGATCATCTATTGCCCTTCCGACTAAAAACAGACCCCAAAACAATTCAAGACAACTAACCACACAACACATAAACTCACAGACGGCCAGAAATTCGAGAGATGGATATGGCAGGCCATCGTTTGCGCCTCAGGCTGTATATAGAGCGCCATTTTGTTCACAGACGACACAGAATGCGGGAGATCTAGATGCCAGACCATCAATAGCGCACGGGGAACTTTCATTTGCAGAACATCATTCATTTCTTAATGAAAAATGTAATCACGATAGTGAAGCGCAAGATAGTGGTGATGGACGGCAGGGAGGCAGAAAACAAGACAACTACCAGTCGCGTATGCAAGTGTCTCAACTTGCATTGCAATACTCAGGCGAGCCACAGAATGCACAACCGCAGTACGAGACGTATAAAGGGTATGGGGATAGTGGGACAGCCCAGCGACCTCAGCATGGCAATCTAAATTGGTACTTATCTTTGTTGAACAATACTGTGTGCACAACGAATACGCAGGAGAATTTGTCACGGACCTTGTCATTGGCGAATAATGCGAAGATGTCGATAGGAAATCGAACAATGAAGCAAGGTGGGCACGCATGGAATAGAGGTGACAATAATCTACGATGGTTCGGTTGATTCCGAACAATCATTGAGGTCGGTAGAACAAATATACGCAATAGAGTTATCTACTATCCTAGGCGGGAGGGCACCTGTTGATCTGATTTCTTCGGTGTCTGCTCCTATTCAAGCCCTATTTTATCCTCAAAATGGCACATTTCAGATGCAGAGACATTAAAGCGTCCAGCAGGATTCTCATATGCAAGAAGAATACTGTAGGTTGAATTCTTTTTTTATTGAAGCCGTACGACACAATGCATAGTTCAACACCTTTCGGAATACAGTGTCCACCGACACTTGTTAATAAAGAAGATGTCCGTGCAGTTAACTCTTATATCAATTTTGCACAAATATTTCCTGATATTTATCGTTTTCATTACGAACAGCATATCTGACTTTAAAAATGGTGATATACATCGCATGTCAAGTAGTTGCCAATACTATATTCGTACATATTTAAAAGGTTAAGTTCGCGTTCCTTTCGTGCATACATGGTCCATTTATTGATAAGTAACGTAATGTAGTACTATTGCGTAGTAATCCTGAGTGCCCCTCCGAAACACCTGTTGATATGCTTCAAGGATATCCACTGCTTATCATTAGCACACTGGTGTATGTATAAAGTCTCAAGTCAACGAACCGACTCCGAATGTATGACTCGAGCTAAATTTGCATGACGACTTTCTAAACAGGATTCGACAATAGGGAATGAGTAGTTCTGTTTTGCAATCTTGCAAAGGTTGTTTAGATACTTAGAGTCCAAAGCAAAATTGACAATAAAATAAGAATACAGAGATAGATTGCAACTGCAAACACCCATAAGCATAACGTTGTTGTATTCTGTTGTTCTTGTAAGAATGTAAAGTACACCTATCTAGCTTCATACAAACGTTACACACATAAATTAGATACGCATAATTAGGTGCTCACATCTGTATCACCCAAATGTACAATACGCATGTTTAGCTACAAAGCAAACCATATGTGATATAAGCTGAACTTGCTGTATTCTGTTTCTCTATATACAAACGTAAAATACGCATATTTAACTCCATACAAACGTATCACATACAAGAAAGATATGCATACTAAGCCACATTTTTACAGATGTAACAAACAAATTACAAACAAAAAAATTTAAGTACGAATGGTTAAATAAATAGCTGCACAAATGACAAGCTAAACTTTTGCCTTCTGCATAGCCTTCCGGAAATTAATGTTCTGAACTTCTGACACATAGGCATAGCCTTCTAAATTAAACATCTGACATAGCCTTCTTTTTTAAGAGCCCGCACTGTGAACAACCGACCGGGCAAATGTCCGGCAAAATCGGAGATTAGCTAAACTACTGAACGTATTGAAAATCTGAGACCACGAGCATGTTCAGCGTGACCAAATTAGCAACGGACAATACTTCAACTACATTATGCCTGTAAGGATAGCATGTTTATTTTTATGTCGGGATAACCGCTGTAACACGATATAACACGATATTCTAACATGTATTAGTGTAATGCTGTTGGTCCATATCTTTTGATCATTGGAGATTATTTTATTTTTTAAATAGGCTGGAAAACATATCGGGTAGCATAAAAGAACATTTTTTTGAAATCGAACCAATTATAATTGTATATAAATATAGAAAAAGCTTTTATATATATATATATATATATTTGGGAAACTTTAAAATTGGACACTTGACCTCCTCCGAGACTCCTCTTCTTTTCTCCTTCTAAATAGCTCTGATCTTGAACAGTATATTTTGGCATTTTTAATGAATTCTAAAATTTTAACAACACCTCAGTCCTCTTCCCTTGAGGCAGCATTTTGTTTTGGCTTTTTTGAACAAAATAAATTTTTTGAAACAATATTGGCATTTTTGAGCAATTTTGAAATTTTGCACATAGTTGTCCCCTTCTTCTCTTTCTCGTGACACCACATATTTTGGCTGTTTTTAGGAAAGTTTTAAATTTTGACTTGTCTTGTTCTCCAGCCCCCAAACGGAAGAGAAAAAAAACTATACACAGAACTGAACCCAAAAACTACATTTTCAAACCGTACACAGAAACCAACTCAACTCTTAGTCAGCGAATATTAAGACTATAGACGATTTATATTTATTGTACAAAATATAACTAGTAGTTATTTCATATAGCTTTCGTGGTAGTTGATTGTAATAGCTACAGCAATAGCTACGTATAGTTAGTTATAATAGTAGCTAACTTCTTTAGCTATAGTAGTATTTAAATACTATTGCTATAGTAATTAAATACTATAGCTATAGAAGTGGTTAATTACTATAACAACAGTAGTAGTTATTTACTATAGCGATTTATGGTAGCAGTAGTAGTAGTAAATTACTATAGCTATATTTAGCAGTAGAAAACTACAATAATACAGAGAGCAGATAATTACTATAGCCAAAGTAGTATTAGTAAATGTAATTATTTACTACAGCTCGAATAGTAGTTAATTACTAAAACAGTTTTATTAGTAGTCGATTACTATATATATATATATATATATATTAGTAGTTAATAACTATAGCTATAGTAGTAATAAATCACTATCGCTATAGTAGAGATAATATTATTTATTTCAAAAATGGCAAGTATGTATGATACAATGTATGAACATATGGTATGGCTCTCATAGTCGCTGTAGTGGTTCAGGAAAGAATGTGATAGTAGTAGTAGTAGTAGTTAATTACTAGAGCTATAGTAGTATTTCCTTACAATAGCTATAATAGTAGTGAACTAACACTATACTTAAATACTCTAGTCATAGTAATTAACTACTACTATAGATATAGTAAATAACAACCACTATATCTATAGTAAGACTACTACTATGGGTATAGTAGCTAACTACTACTACCACTACTACTTCTACTACCACTACTACTACTACCACTACTATAGTTCATCACTAAAGCTATAGTAGTAGTAGTAGTAGTAATAAATATAGCTTTAATAGTAGTGAATTATTATAGTTATAACAGCAATAGTAGTAGTTGTATTAGTTAATTGCATTTGCTATGTGATGGTAGTAGTGGTAGAAGTTAATTACTAGAGCTATAGTAGTAATTCCCTACAATAGCTATAGTAGTAGTGAACTACATTGTCGACTCACTTGGCCCAAGCTTCAAACGGGAATATACTGACCACTTCTTCCCATCAATCTTTCCTGAACCACTACAGCGACTATGAGAGTCATACCATATGTTCATACATTGTATCATACATACTTGCCATTTTTGAAATAAATAATATTATCTCTACTACTACCATAGCTATAGTAATTGTCTACTATTGAAGTAGTAGCAGTAATGAACTACTGCTACTTCTACTATTACTACTACCGGTATAGTAGTGGACTACTACTATCGCTATAATAGTTTACTACTATTACTACTAATATTGCTTTAGTAATGAAATACTACTAGTAGTAGTATCGCCATAGGAATTAGTTAATACTATTGAGCTATAATAACTCACTACTCCTACTACTACTATAGCTATAGTACATTTACTACGACTACTACCATCATGGCTATAGTAATTGACTACTATTAAGGTAGTAGCAGTAGTTAACTACTACTACTACTATTACTACTGCTACTATCTGTATAGTATCCAACTACTACTATATCTATAATAGTTTACAACTATTACTACTAATACAGCTTTAGTAATGAACTACTACTACAACTACTAGTACTATTAAAGTAGTAGCTATAATAATTTACTACTACTACTGCTATCGCAATAGTATTTAGCTAGTACCATTCAGCTATAATAATTCACTACGCCTACTACTACTAAAGCTATAGTAATAATAATTTACTACTACTACCATAACTTAAGTAATGAACTACTACTAATGCAACTACTATCGCTATAGTAATTAGCTACCACTATAGCCAAAATATTTCATTTCTTCTACTACTACTATAGCTATATTAAATAACTACCTTAGCTATAGTACTTGAATACTACTATAGCTAAATTAAGTGTATATTACTATAGCTTTAGTTGTAATTTACTACTACTTTAGTTATAATAGTTTACTACTACTCCTACTACTACTACTACTACTGCTACTACTACTACTACTACTACTACTACTACTACTACTACTACTACTATAGCTTTAGTACTGAACTACTATTACTACTACTATTACTACTACTAATATCGCTATTGAAATTGACTACAATTATAGCCAATCAAATTTACTACTACTACTACTACTACTACTACTACTATTACTATAGCTTTAGTACTGACTATTACTACTACTGCTACTCCTACTAGTATCGTTATAGTCAATAACTACTACTGTAGCTATAATAATCCACTACTTCTACCACTAATATAGCTATAGTGATTAACTAATACTGCCACCTTGGCTATAGTAATTGACTACTACTACTGATACTTCAATAATAGTAATTGACTACTACTATATCTATATTAACTGACTACTACTATAGCTGGTGTTGTAATTTACTACTACTTTAGTTATAATTGAATACTGCTAATACTACTAATATAGCTTTACTACTGCTGCTACTATCGCTATGGTAATTTACTACTATTCAAGCTATAATAATTTACTACTACTACGACAATTGTAGCTCTAGTAATGAAATACTACTACTATTACTACTACCACAGCTATAGTAATCGACTACTATTAAAGTAGTGACAGCAATGAACTACTACTACTATTATCGCTATAGTAACTAACTACTACTATAGCTATAATAAGTCGCTACTCCTACTACAACTATTTACATCGTAATAAACTACTATTGCTACCATAGCTATAGTAATTGACTGTTATTAAAGTAGTAGCGATAATGAACTACCACTGCAACAATTACTACTATTGTTATAGTAATTAACACGACTACTACTATAGCTATAGTAGTTTTTTACTACTAATACTACTATAGCGTTACTACTATTGCTACTACTACTACTATCACTATAGCAATTATCTATTACTATAGCTATAATAATTTACCACTACTACTACTACTATAGCTTTATTATTTAACTACTACTACTACTACTACTACTACTAATACTATCGCTACAGTAATTAGCACGACTACTACTATAGATATGATAGTTTATTACTACTACTTCTACTATAGCTTTGCTACTACTACTACTTCTACTATAGCAATTATCTACTACTTTAGTTATACTAATTTACCACTGCTACCAGTATTGCTACAGTAAGTAACTACTATTATAGCTATACTAATTTAATACTACTACTACTACTATAACTTTAGTAGTAGGCTACTACC